TTTGGTTGGACAGCCCTGTCTAAAGCCTTTAACAAAATCAACTTCCTCACTGTTTTGGACTACATTCATCGAATTTTTGCTTTCTCAATTAATCACACTCTCACATTGTTTTTAGAGTAATATACCCATTTTTGACTAATTTATAGTTTCAGAAACCAGAGACGCCAGAGGGGGCAACATTAGCTCAGTTGGTAGAGCATTGGCCTTTAGGCCTGAAGGTCGTGGGTTCAATTGACACATTGACACCTTCTCCACGAACTCCCACTGATGACTGCTGTCGTTGTGTCCTTGGGCAAGACACTTAACCCCACTTTGCCCAAAAGCCCCCGCTGAAGGATCAAGGCTATGCTCACACTTACAGAGCAGCCGTCCTCCTGTGGACTCACCACCTGAGGATCAGTAAGGGGCTGGTGCAGCTCTGACTGTCACCCCCCTGACCCAGAAATGGATTAAGGGGTAGAAAATGTATGGATGGAGAAACCAGAGACACTGGGCTTTTAGAAAATATGGCAACAAAAAGCCAGAGGTTCTAGTGAGGGAGCAAACTGGAGAGGACAAATAGGACAGCCTTGTCTGAAGCCTCTATGTGTCCTCTCCTCTTCACACTCTCTCAATAGAAAATGCACACATATTCTAATTTCAAGAGACTATATATATTGAGTTATACACTATATACAATCTATGGAGCATTACATTCATTTTCTTTTTACCTTTTAAATGAAAACAGGCTGCATGATAGAAAACACTCAAAGGCTACTAATACATTTGCGCTAGCTTTTGTGTTAAATGCTAAGTGCTCCTCCAGGACTCATTTCAACCACAGGCTTTTGTGCTCTCCTGGCTTCATTTGAATTTATTTGTTTGAAGATGACACATATTTATGAGCACAATATTTTACCTCAGTATTGTGTGTGTAATTCTATTTGTAAGGTTAATACAATCCATGGCGACAGTCATTCGATACAAGTCAATCTAAAAAAAAATAAAAAATTGTATCAAGAGGGCAATAAACCTATGCAAAATCAACTTTTTAGACTATATTTGTCTCTTTGGGTTGAGAGCTGATTGGCAGAGTGATTGTGTTCTTTTTTTTTTCTCTTTTCTGTCTGAGAAAGATGATCTAAATACGTGAATACGTGAGGCCAAAAAATATGTAAAACCTAGTGATAAAAGCAAAATAATTTGAGAGAGACAAGTGACATGGACTTTAATGCATGACCAAATGCCTGTGTGTTGAAGTTACGTGCCCCAGCTTTAAGTGATTTACATATAGCGAAAGGCCTAAAATATGTCATACATATCATTATACAACCAACAGACTACACTAAAACTAGGGCTTATTTCATTGTATCACAGTTTCCTTCTCATTTCTCATGCAGTAAATCAATTTTTGCCTCAAAAAATGTTTGCCTCATTATTAGAAACCCACATACGACCACAGACATTAACATGGGAAAGCTTTATAAATTGGCATTAATTGTTTTTAGTAGCTATAATGGACAGTAGTGGGCTTCCAATCTGGTTCATTGTATTTGCGTATCTTCTCAGTATCTTGCGTGTTTTAATCAAGTTCTCAGTTGTAGTTGCTCTACTGCTTTAGTACTAATTCCAAATGGTTTAAAGATGCGTTGTGTAACTGCTGTGGTAGATCTGTTGCTGTTAGTGTCTATAATGGAATACAATATCTAGAAAGACAAAAACTAGAGCTACAAAATATACAGCCAAAATGATAGATGCATTTACAAATATTTTTCAATTCCCACACAAAAAATCTGATTTATATTCAGCAAATTTTTGCAAATTTGTATCCATCCAGTGGCCTATAGACACATTTGGGCCAAAGGCTGGAGCTAGCCAACCGTTTTGAAGGCTAGAATCTAGTTCAATTTAATTTAATTCAATTTGTTTTTGAATAGCCCTAAATCATATCAGCAGTCTTCTCAGAGGACTTTACAAAGTTGTTGATTCGCCAACACAGATCAGAGAATCAAACAGTTCAAACATTGGATGCAATGATTTAAAAAAAAAAACTGATGGAGTTATTTATGAGTCCATAAATGTTAATAGTTACCAAGATTCCATTACTTATTGTGTTATAAAATGTACATACCCCAGCTTTAACCCAATCGGTGGTTCGATCTAATATAAGATAATATAAAACAACAACCACAATATTCTCACAACTGCAACTTTAAACCCCACATAAGGACTTACTGCAGTACTTCCGTTTATGTGCATGCCTATTGTTTGTACGTGGTTTTTAATACTTGCATTCAGATTTCTTTTTTGTTTTTTTGTTTTTTTTTCTCCCCCTCCCTTTCTCACCCACCCAATGCAATGCTGTGCCTACATGGTCGCCCTGCCCTGCCCTGCACCTCTTACCTCCTACCTCCTCTGCTTGCTGTCTGTTAAAACGCTTGACAAAAAAAACAAAACCCCCCTCAAAAAACCATCATGCTCGCTGTGCCTGCTTAAAAGACACACTCCGCCGCCAAAGTACTGAAGCGACCCCTCGAGGCAACCGTAGACATGGTACTATCACCTTTCACCATTTTCTTTTTGTTTTTGCTTCTGTGCACGCTGATGCATAAGGTTGTGATGGGTACGGAGAAGAGAGACAGAGAGAGAAAGAGAGATTGTATAGGTCGCAAAGCATAACTCGAATTGGGGGAAAGAATTGATAAATTAAATCAATACAGTAGAGCAAATTATTGCAATATTTAATTGAATAACTATCTGTTTTACTTTTTCTCCGTGTTAACTCTTAATTTTACATCTGAGGTTTATGTTACTCAATTTTGTCTGCATTGTGTAGTATTTGAATAACTAAACTTAGGTCCTGGCAGCTCACCATTCATGTGAGAGGTCGTCTATTCAGAGAATAATAATTCCTTGTCCTATAATAAGGACCTTGAACGAATGTTCAAGGATAAAGATTTGCACTACCCTTCTCAATTTCTGCATTCGACATTCGAGTTAATTTGAGTTAGTATTGCCGTTGAATAATATGTGGGACATGAATCGCAATATATCACAGAATTGAATCCCAATTCTTGCTGAATTGCAAAATGTTAAGAATCTGATTATTTTTGAATTGTGGCCCAAATATCGCACTACTATCAAATCATCAAGTATAGGAACAGTAATATACATACATGTACAGTTACAGCAGCCATTTTGAGGTGGGAAATGCATAAGAAGTAATGGGAGAAGGATTTTAATGTGGCTTTATCATCTCAAATGAAAATCTATTTTTTAAATATTTGTTTTTGATATACGCAAAAATAGGTGCTAAAGGTGCGTTCACATTGGTCAAAAGGGACTTAGGAAGCCACTACCAAGCTCTTATGTTACCAAACTAGTGCACTAGGGTGGAGTAGGATAAGGAGTACTAGCTTTAGATCTAGAAAAAGTTATAGTAGTAGCAGCTTTATAGTTGCAGTAGCAGTTGTACTAGTAGTAGCAGCAGCAGCTTCAAAAGTAGTAGTTGTTGTAGTAGTAGTAGCTAAAAGTAGTGGCAGTAGTAGTGGCCGGTTTATAAGTAGTAGTAATGGCAGCTTTAGTAGTAGTAGTACTGCTAGTATTATAGCAGTAGTAACAGTAGCAGTAGTGGAATCATTAAAAGTAGCAGCTTTAGTAATGGCAGTAGCAGTGGTGGTAGCCGCTTTAAAAGTAGTAGTAGCAGTTGTAGCAGCTCTAAAAGTAGTAGTATTATGGTAATAGTTGTAGTTGTAACTTTGAGTCTTAGAGTTTTTTTTAAAAAGGGCTATATGAAACTTATTATTATTATTATTATTATTGAAAGGTTTTTCGCCAGACCTCTGTGATCACCTCCTCTAGCTCACTATTTTGTTTAAACCATCCATCCAGTTTTTAAATTGACAAATGAAGTGTAATACCTTTTGAAACTGGACCTCGCCGATTCATCAAAAGCCTTATTGAACTCAAAGTGTACCAGAGTTCAGTTCATTTGGACCAAGTTTGAACACAAACCCACAATAGTATCAACCTATTATGCTATACCTGTAGTATCATACATTCTAGAATACCAGAAAGCATTACAAACTAACTACTGTATACAGCAACTTAAACTAGGTGCAAAGCTCTTTGGATCTCAAAACTCTCTTATCTGAGCAAAAATCAATACAATTGGTTAACAATGTTTAGTCATAAACCAATATAGACCCTGCTTTTAACACTTCAATTAATAACTTGCCTTTTTTTAAATACAAAATGGCCGCCACAGAACCTATGCTCTCTCCAGTACCTTATTGCAACCCTATGCGTTTGCCTGTTCTGTAACATAGCTCAGTGTTTGCTATGCTAACTGTGCTAGCCGCTTTAAGTTGGCTAAACGCTAATGCTAATTTTTGAATATAGTTTGTTTTTACTCATTGTCTTGTGCTAGGTTCGGCTTTTTCCTTTTTGAATAAGGTGTGCTAATAAAATATTTACAATTCTCTGCTAGCTTTTTCATTCATTTGTGTTGGCATTTTTTTTAGCATTATTTTATGCTTTTTTCTTCTTTCATTTTAATTGTAATATATTTTCTCTAAAAGCAAACCATTTACTTAATGCAGTAGCAGTATCTGTAGCAGTAGCAGTAGAAAAAACTTAGCAATAGCAGTAACATAACAGTAGCAGTTGGTCTATTTCTATTGTTGACTAATTTTTATATATATTTAATATATATATATTTGTGCTAAAACACTGTCTCTTAAGTGTTTTTACTCCCACACCCTTAGTTTTTGTCTAGACTGGATGGAACTGTTTTACTTTTTAAGAAATATTCCATTATATTCCACATAACTAGATCCAGTTAATTTCCACAAAATAGAATTGAATTGTAAATATGTTATCAAAACACCTTATTCGTTCCTGTATCCATTCTTATCGTGCTGTGCAACTTGCATAACTGTTATAATTCCACATGTATTCATTCAAAATCTACACATAACTAACGTCTTTGTCGTAATCTCCTTTTTTCCTTTTTGTATCTGTGTTTCTAGGCTTTTCCGCATGGCGTTCTCCAGCCTTTACCAAAAAGACCTGCGCTCGACAAAACTAACGGAGCTTCGTCATTGTTCAACCCAAACGTCCTGCACTATCAGCAAGCTCTGGCCAACGCACAGCTGCAGCAACAGGCCTTCTTCCCCACCGGTAAATATGCTTTTATACTGTAAATATACTTATGTACTGTCTATATATGTGAGATAATGGAGGGTGTGCAGTACCAGCTACCACCAGCAGGAGTACCACCCACTTCACATCTGCAGCAACAGGCATAACATTAGGATCATTATTCATGTAGTTTCAAAGAGTTGGCCAAAACATTTAAAATGGGGTTGTTAAGACCTGGTTAAAATCTAGTTTAGTCCTGGTTCAAACCTGGTTTATACCTGGTTCACACCTGCTTTAGAGTCTGTTTTAGACTTCAGACCTGGTTGAACCTGTTTTATAGCTACTAATTATATGCCATGGTTCAGACCTAATTAAGACCTGGTTCAGGTCATCTTTGGTCCTAGTGTAAACATGGTATCCACTGCAACATGTTTTTACTCTTATATAATGTTTTCACACTCCACTGCAAGAACTGGAGAATATATAATTGCAAGACCACAATCTGCTGTTAGCCAAGATATAAATAGCCACATTAGCTTTCTGTCAGATCTGAGAGGAATTGTATTCATAAAAGCACATTTCACAAACAAAGGATGTTAAAGTGAACCCAGGCCTAGGTTTGGAGCCGATAAGGACTTTTGAATACAGGAGTAATGCAAGGTCTTACTCTTTTTAATGAGCTGCAGTCATTCGAATAATTTTAGAGGAAGACCTGAGAAGAGTATGTTGAATAGTCTAATCTATGTGACAAATACACAACGGACAAAATGAAAAGGTAAAAGGTAGTACAACTTGAATTAAGTATATTTTGACTCTACAAACTTACAAAACAAGCCCATTCTTTATTAATTAAATGAGAAATGTGTGGAATCTTATGCCGTTTTTCCACAGTCCGAGTACGGTACGTTTTGACTCCACACGGCGCGCCATGGCCCAGTTCGCGTGCTTTTCCATAAAAAATAGTACCCCATAGTATGTCCTCAGCGTTGTCAGACCACGTCATTTACGTGTGACGCGTAACTAGTACTGGTGCGGTGCATGGATTTATTATAATACCAGAGCAAGTGTTTAATAGAAAATTCAGCACAGCACGAGTAGTTTTTGAAAATGCTTATGTCTTAAAAGAATGACTCAGACACTGTGAAGTCAATGGTGCTGACTGCTCTGTACAATCTGAATGGGACATACCTGTAGCAACAGCAGCCTGTGTAGCAGAGGAGGAGGGCTGCATGTCCGAGGATACTGCTAGGCTAAAGCTAATGCTAGCGCTAGCTCGAGACTCTGCTCACTCACTAACCCTGGATTCCAAAGCTACTACTGTACTACACTTATCACATCTATCACTACCCTCAGATGAGGATCCAGGGTTTAAACTTTAAACTCGAGCAGTAAAGGACCGAGGGAGAGACAGCGGCAGCCATAGGGGTAGCGAGTTAGCGGCTAGGCTAAGCTAGGCTAGGCTAGTCCGGACTTGGGTCCGGACTACAGCAGACTCCGAGACCAGACAAATAATCGATACCCAAACCTCAGCTACAATAATAATAAATGAATGAAACACAGTCTTGGGATACAATCACAGATTTATTGAAAACGAAAGTAAAGTGCAAAACCAACAGTTTACAAAGTCAAAAGTACGTATGTCTAAGACCAGGTCCAGGCCAGGTCCAGGCCAGGTCCAGGCCAGGTCCAGATGAGAATACTCCGGTCACTCATTACTCGTGGGTAATCTCCACACTTATGATTCTCATAAAATATACACACAACAACTTAAAAACAAGCACAAAACAGAAACACGTGAATACTGCAGATAATACGAGATAAAGCACAGTAGCACAGGGAGGACGTTAGCTTAGCGGCTATCGATAGCTAAATGAAGCTAAATGTAGCTAGCTCACTGTGTACAACAGACAATCGAGCATTTACACAGTAAATACATTTCAGTGAGAGCTTTAGGGGGTTAGCTAGCCAGTTATTTCCAGGATTACCACAGACTAGTCACAAATCCAGAGCTGGTGATCTCCCTGAAAACTGTGTTGAGCCTCGAGCTGCCTTTGAATTCTTTCTTTTGGCCTTAAGAGAGGAACGTGTGGACCTCTTCCACCGACCAGGACCAGGACTTTTGGGGCTTTCTGTGCAATTCCATTTCTCTGGAGTGAGGAGGACGTAATGTAGCCGAACGAGAGCCGAACAGAGCAGCCTGTTTTAAAGATGGCGGTTGAGTTGTTTTTGGGCAGTGGGCCAACGTGACGTCATGGCACGGGTACATGGCACGGGTACTATGGGGATGGAACCACGGCTGAGGCAGTACGGAAAAGTACTCAAATCTCCCATTCCATCCACTAGTGGAAAAGCAAAATAGGTGCGCCGTACCATACAGAAATGAACTGAGCCGACACTGTGGAAAAACGGCATTATTGTCTCTTTTAAAGGCAATTCCATTCATAATTCTTGTTCTAAGACTGTCAAAAAGCTCTCGAAGTTAGATAGATACTGCCCAGTTCCATTAGTGTATAGGTATCTGTTCTAAGAGAGTGAAAGTCTGATCTAATGTATTTGTTGTTTCAGTTGTGAGACCTCGGAGGCAAGTTGAGTCTCTGTGTATCTATGGCAACCTCTTGTCCTTGATCGCAGGAGCAGTAGGGCCAGCTCCGCTCCACAACTGCAATTCCAAATATCAAAGATGTTTGATCTGAAATGCAGCTCGTCCCCGGGGCGCACCCCTCTCCCATAATCAAAAATCTATTGTCCACTGTAAAGCAGTGGACAGCCAGCTTTAGACCCTAAATTTCTTTCACAAAATCTATTAGAAAAAAACTGAGACTGGGTTTTCTCCATAGGTCCTTGTTTCGACCTGTGTAGACCTAATTTACATCTACATTTACATAAAAGATTCTGCCCAGCTTCTAGACTCAATTCCAAATCTATTAGAAGCACTTTAGGGTTATAAATGTATCTACAGACCTTTGTAGACCTATTGTACATCTTGTGCAGACCAGGTTTAGATCTGGTTTATAATTATACCAACATGTAGATCCTTGGTTAGATCTATTTTACATCTATTAGTTTCTATATTTTGTAATTTATTCCATACTCACTCCAGTTTTTGCTGTGTATTCCAAATCTATCAGAGGTACTTACCTGGTTTATAAGTGTACCTTCTCCTAGGGTAGACCTGTGTATATCTATTTTACAGGCTTAGACCTGGTTTTACTCACTCATTTTTACTACTGGGGCTTGGTTTAGCCCTGTTGTGGTCCAGGCAACTGCTATTGGTAATCCAAGTTTCGAGACTGCTTATCAATTTGATTTAGTCCTGATTTACACCTATATAAGTCGAAAATGTTATGCCTGACTCACACACAGAAAAACCAAGACTAAATATCCAGCTTCCCTTGCCGCATACCTCCAGAGCATATGGCCAAGTTCGCTTGCGTTAGCTTGTCGGCCTGTAGCAAACTTCTTGTCTTTCCGTCTTTATGTTTATTCATGTGTTTTTCTAAAGTCGTAAATCGCCTGAACACTCTGCTCCTCCCACGTCTTTACGCTGCGTCAAAATGCTGCCTGCAACTAACGGTGTTCCAACTAACTACTGTTGTGCATGGGAGAGCTATTATCCACTGATTGTTATGCATACAGGCCTGTGGTAATAAGACATGGGAGAAATGCCAAGGGTGTAAAACTTTAGCTTCTTCCATCGAGTTTTCATTTTGCATGTTAATCTTGCCTCCTATGGGTCTTCCAATATAATTTCACTAAAAGTTAAAGTCAATTTTTCTCACTTATTGTCCATGTTCTACTGGTTTTACCCTGATCAGTGCAGTGGTCCCTCGCTGTGTCACTTTTTGTGTCCAATTTTGCGTTTTATTTAGAGAGATAGACTAGAGAGAAAGCCTAAGTTAAAGTTATAAAGAGATATAGCTGCGTTTTGTATAAAAAAATTGCTTTTAAAATAAAAAAATTGTAACACCATCTATTTTTACAAAGGAGAAATGGCAAACTGCTTTATATACACCTTAACCTTGACCATTCTAGAGTTATTCTCTCTCATTCTTGTGATTTCCACGAAAAGCTATTATGATTTTTGCTGTATTATACCAGCTTCTTTGAAATCTATGTGAAAGAATATGAATTTCTCACTGAAAACACTGGGATTCCACAACAGTTCAGAACTCTCAAGCCAGGAGCGAACATAACCACATTTTCAATTTGTTCGGCAATTTCTTTCGTGTTATTGTGGGTGAAAAAACAAAAGAAGTCCCTCTCTGGTAACGGATTATAAATGAAGACCAAAAACGATTTTCCAAAGTATTAAAAGTAAATGCCAATTTGCCCCATTCATATACTAAAAAAGGTGTCAAACCTATTAGAAAACATGTTTGTATTTTCAGACCTGGCTTTGACCTGGTTTAGACCTGAGACACCAGAGTGAGAGAGAGAGACCAGAGAGTGAGAGAGACCAGAGAGTGAGAGAGACCAGAGAGTGAGAGAGACCAGAGAGTGAGAGAGACCAGAGAGTGAGAGAGACCAGAGAGTGAGAGAGACCAGAGAGTGAGAGAGACCAGAGAGTGAGCGAGACCAGAGAGTGAGCGAGACCAGAGAGTGAGCGAGACCAGAGAGTGAGCGAGACCAGAGAGTGAGCGAGACCAGAGAGTGAGCGAGACCAGAGAGTGAGCGAGACCAGAGAGTGAGCGAGACCAGAGAGTGAGACAGAAAAGATAACATGTTTTCTAACAAGATGAAGACTGCATGTTGTGGTCTAATTTCTTAATTACTTTCACTTTCAAGACCTTTTTTGTTGACAGAAACATGTAAAAATGTATGAAACAAAACTTAAGTACCCCAGCTTTAAAACCAGCAGTGAGAGATGAGAGATGGTGTGGAATCTCTGTGTCAAACCCAGTCGGCATGCGTGGCTCTCTCGCTCGAGGATCTCTGTTTGAGGAGTGGCCTGTTGTCAGCCTGTGTGTGTGTGGGTGTTTGCGCGTGTGTGTGTGTATGTGTGTGCGTGTGTGTGATCTCTCGACCTTTGACCCTGCTCCTCTCCTCTTTTGCATGCTGTCACAGGGTCAGTGTTGTGCATGACGCCTGCTAGCAGTCTGGGTAGGTCCACGCCTTTCTCTCCTTAACTGTCCTTAACACAACAACAGCCAGAGCTCCCATACTCACACACGCTATTCCACTCACTTTACTCACTCTACTCGGCTCTAGATCACTTCAAATGGATTACAATCATATTAGCTTGATTTGAGAAGATTGGGAAAAATATCTGGTCTTTATGTACGTTTAAACATGCTACAACAGACCAGGCTCTATCCACAGCATAGCCTATATATAGATAGACAATGCTAACGTGCTAGCTCAATAAAGCCTTATATGGAACTGCTCATGGACAAGTTTTGCTACATCTTTTTGTTTTTGATTGTCGTCACAAAACCCTATATATGGCACAAATTGTAACTTATAAATTTCTCCATTGTGAGATCATTTAAGTTTTATCTTATCTTATCTTAAAGGAATAGTTCACCGTTTTTACATACTGACATATGTTCTTACCTTACCTTAGACTAGTTAATACGTACCTGTCTGGTCTTAGTCCGTGCGCTCTGTCATGCAAACGGAGCAAAAACGGGAGCACAACCGCAGCCTCCTCTGGTCACTGTGTAGGACCAAAAGGTAGCTCCCGCTAGAAGCTACCAAACTCTTCCAAGTGTTCCCTAATAAATGTATATAGTTACGTGACGTGTTACACTGCAAAGTATAGTAACACAGAAATGTAACAGTCGATTTTCTCAGCGGATAAAACGGGTACTATATTGTGAGGCGTAGTAATCTGAGGAGCGCTACGTCCGCGCACTAACTTCTCTCCGGAGACTTCTCTCTCGCTCACTTCCGTCAATAGAAGCAGCGTGACTTGTAGTACACACAGTAGCAGCGAGAGAGAAGTCTCCGGAGAGAAGTTAGTGCGCAGAGAAGTTAGGAGCGCTACGTCCGCGCACTAACTTCTCTCCGGAGACTTCTCTCTCGTTGCTACTGTGTGTACTACAAGTCACGCTGCTTCTATTGACGGAAGTGAGCGAGAGAGAAGTCTCCGGAGAGAAGTTAGTGCGCGGACGTAGCGCTCCTCAGATTACTACGCCTCACAATATAGTACCCGTTTTATCCGCTGAGAAAATCGACTGTTACATTTCTGTGTTACTATACTTTGCAGTGTAACACGTCACGTAACTATATACATTTAATAGGGAACACTTGGAAGAGTTTGGTAGCTTCTTAGCTTAGCACGGACTAAGACCAGACAGGTACGTATTAACTAGTCTAAGGTAAGGTAAGAACATATGTCAGTATGTAAAAACGGTGAACTATTCCTTTAATGTAGCTGTGGTGTGAATCAATAGGGACACATCCAACCCCCAGACCAGCTCCATTCAAAACAGTTTTATAATCTGGGTTGTCGGCCCCTGGTCTAGTCTTGTGAACTATAGTTGCTCTTACTAAAGCGTTTGGACACCCTTGGTCAGTTTCATATAAAAGTTTCACGTTGAATTAAGCAGAAATAAATCAACTTTTGAGTGATCATTTTCAGAGTTTCACCTGTAATGACCAGAGGATATAGACAGGGATGTCCTCTCAATCCACCTGTATTTACGCTCTCTGTTTTACACCAAAAAAGTATTGCTCCGAATTAGTTTTAAAGAAGTTCTGCATACCTTCAATTACATGTGCACTAGATAACCTGCATATAAGGATTAAACTAGTAAACATATTTATCCATATATTCTACACATAATAAAGTTATATCATTTTGTGAAACATTTAGTGCCAACGCAAGTAGATTTGCATGATTTATGCACTAAAATTAGCCACAAAATGTGTATTTCAAGGGAAACTTTGTATTCTTCTTGTTATAATCTTCACAATGTTTTATTATTGGCAGCAAATATGAAAGGATTTGCTCAAAAAGGTGTAAAACTTTATTTGTATGGCACTAAAGTAGATTTTTTTGGTTTTCTTGGTAAGGAGCAAATTGTTAGTCTTTCAAATATTTGGGTACTTTTTGCTTATGAACTATTCATTTGTTCTCATTTTAGGCTAAAACAGATATTTTTCTCTCCTTAATTTAAGTTAAATATGTTTATTTGAAGTCCAATGAGCTCTGTTCCCAATCCACCAAAATCTGTTTATAGCAGCTTTATACTGTAGTAATATCCCCCATACAAACACAGAACCATTCAATACGATTTCTGAACTGATGTATGGGAGCCCTGTATGTTTTTTATTGTTTAAAAACTGGTATTTATTAATCTTTATCATGTTGTACCTTTATCTAACTTACAATATGTCTCCATGATTGAAAACTGTTGTGAAATTGCGACATCAGCTTCTACCACTGTTGTACTGTGTTGTGTGATTAGGAAATTTCCAGTTTTTTTCAGAGAAATTCAAAAAGGGGCTATTGTTTTTAGCTAAAAAAGTAGTTATTGTAGATGGATGGTGATATTTGCATTCATTTGAATAGCATTAACAAACTTTAAATCAACTTATCTCAGCTTTTGTCCATGTTACACTGGTTTTACCCTGGTGAGTATAGAGGTCCTCCATTGTATTGCAAGATCAGAGAGAGAGAGACCAGGGAGAGAGACCAGAGAGAGAGAGAGACCAGAGCGAGAGAGACCCACCAGAGAGAGACAGCGAA